TGAGCACATGCAACCGATACCATAGATTAAGAGGCAGAAATATATAAAAAAAATTCAAAATTTTTGGGTTGTGACATTGTATCATGTCGCCGACGATATTCACTCTGTGGGAACTTCAGCGCTTGGCTTAAGAGGACAATCCAAATTTTAAAAAAGATCGTTCTCCCCGACAGAAGGGGCGCCTCACAGTAAATTATGTAGTAGTACACACACAGACCAATCAGATTACTTTTCCAGCTTTAATGTCTCAGAACCTTTGTTTGGGTGTTCGTGGGGTGACATTTTTTATCGGAATATTTGTTTTGTTCCTTTTGAAAATTTGTTAGGAATTCTGCTTTTAATCAGAGCAGTAACTTTTTGGTGATTGAAGCTGGAAGTGGCGGCATCTTACAGGACGCTACTGAAAGACAGATATGGATTAACCGTATAGAGAAGCATTTTGTTTGCAAGCTTGAGAAACACGTTAAAGGTGGTGTTTGAGTCTGAACGTATACAGAATCGTAATTGTCCATGGAGAATTCTTTTTTAGACCTGGAGACCGAAAGCTGAAATGAATAACATGTTTGCTAAAGGCCACTGAACGTGATAAAAAGAGCTCAGTAAACAAACAACAAACAAACAGGATAAAACGAACACAGCAACAAAAGCAGAAATTCTGGTAATAAAACCAGCAAAAACGTTTTGTGGCAAAATTAGAGATTTATTTACAGTGTTGAATACATGGAACCAGATTGCAATGTGCCAATAATATCTTCCTACACTAAAATGCCCAAATGAGTCACGCAGAAGACAGAAATGAAATGACGTCATGAAATCATGAACAATTGTGCAACAACGAAAAATGTATGAAAATAAAATGAGGCCTGGTTTCTGCCTGAAGTATTCCATTTTTTTCTATTTTGTTCAGCTTTTTTTTAACTTATGAAAGAACTGGACATGACATTTAGTTAGCTTAGTAGACATCACGCTTTGCAGCGATGAAAACGACCCAGGTTCAATTCACAAGTAGGAAGTTCTTGGACTTGTGCAGTTTGAAGAGTTTTCAAAGTTCTCCTCTTACCTGAGTCGGCCCTATCGGAGATGGACTTTGAATTCGGATGCTTCGCCCCACAATTAACCTTTAAAGTGTTGAAATGGGCGTAAACTTTAAGCAGATTTCATTTTTTAAATTTGGAGAGAGCAACAACCTTTTACAGCGATCCTTCAAAATACACAAATGCCATATCCAATGCAAAACAAGTAGAGAGCACAATTCACCTTTACAAATTGGCTTTAATCCATACAATAGGTCGTCGTGCCTTTGAACTGAGTCATTTGTCTGTAAAACTTTTGTTTTGTTTAGTTCTGCGGATAAAATATTTGGCATGCTGCATACGTCATACGGGTTTTTTCGTTCTACTTGTTGGGTGGTGTTGTGTTCGTAAATAACATCATCTAGGCCACGATTGGGCCAACGTGTTCAAAAATTAAGAAAAGGGTCTTGTGGCTTTAGTTTAAACAGTGCTGCATTTTTCTGAAGGTAAGAGTTTTGTGAAAGAACTGATGGGAGAACTGGTTGATCGTTGGTGTGAATTGTTACTTGGTATACTGATTATAGTAGGATTTCAGGCAAATTTACACAAAAGACCAAAAGGGATAAAATAAACAAATTCTAGTGGGCCGCCACCACACTCGCGAGCAAGCGATACTTCTGTCGCAAGTTCAAGTTGACGGCCGTTGTAACTGACAATGCTTCTGTGTTCAGTCACGGGGGGCTATGTTTATTATGACGGTTCGCACACCTCGCACATCAGTAGCTGGGAATAATTGGTCACTTTTAACTCTTTATCTCCGAGGGGGGGTAAACTCACTACGCCGGGGCCCTTTTTTGGTGCTAAATCTAAAAATGACAAAAACACAATTAAAATTGTCATTAAATAAAAGCTAGCAAACCTATTTTGATAGTTCTTCATCTAATGAAAGAACTTCCGCTAAAAGAGACCTGTTTTCGACAATTGCCGAACAGTAATTTGACGTCGAAGTCGTCGTAAAGGAATGTGCCCGAGACGCTGTCAGCAACTCACCGGCACAGCAGTTCTGATCGCGAGCCGCTGGGAGCTGCTTGCCAGAGATAAAGAGTTAAGGACAAGCGGGCTAACCGCTACCTAGTTTGGTTTCATTGGTGTGTATATTTGTTTGGTTATAGAAAAAACTCTCCTTCTTGTCTTTTAAAGAAACCGAATAAGGGTGAAAAAAATGTAACCTTCGATTTTCTCAAAACAGCATTTTTTCGGGAAAGTCCGTCCCCTTGTGTTTAAAAGCGACCAATTATTTTGTTACCGACTTGTCAACTAGGGATACACAGAACAGTGGGAGGGGCCAGAAACATCGCTTACACAACGTGCTGGTTAGAAAGTGGTTCACCTGTTGAAAGGTTAACAATGACGATAGGTGAATGGTTTATGATGGCTGGTCCACAGCGATTATAGTCGATGTCATGGCGTCGGTCACGTCTTGGTATGCTTGCATGGTCGTCCTGGAAAGTTGTTTTTTTTGGCTGTTGGTTGATAGAATATAGCGGTCGCGGCCACGTTGGTCAAGTTGAAAGCATAATACATGTGATTTCTTGTACAACACATACAGACATATTTATAGGATCACTGTGTCATGCAAAACGCAAGCACATCTTATATGTGGTATAAAAGCGCGGTATGATAATTACAACTCATTCGCTTACACCTAAATACAATACTTACTTACTTACTTCTTTATCATTTTCACCAGCATGAAATTATACACCGTTGTGCAGACATGAGTATTTTGCTCCAAAAAAGCGTGCTGTCCCGTTTTTATAAGACATATCACAAAAATGCAAATGCATCACGTCCATAAATTACAGTGATGACGTGTTATGAAACGATTTCAAAGAGGTACGAGCAAACAGGAAATAATGAAAGTGTGTTATTGTAATCAGGAAGTTAAAACGACCCCCCCCCCCACCCGCCACCCTCGAAAAAAACCCCACACAACAACAACAAACAAAACAAAACCCCAAACAAAACAATCCCAAAACAACAACAAAACAACGTTTCAAAACAGAAAACGAACGAAAAAACATTAAAATAAACGTCATAGATATATACACACAGTAGATCCACATTACGAATGTGTTGGTGAAAAATATTTTCAAATTAAAATACAAAGCCTTAAGGGGGTGTAGCTATGGTCAACACCCAAATGCTATAGTTTTTCGTCTAACGCTTGCTTTTCTGCATCAAAGGGGGTGACATAGTACAAAAA